CCCCCCCCCCCCCCTTAGCCGCTCCGCCACCCCAACTCCCAGTGCTTTAAAAAAAAGCTCCCACTCACCGGGTGCTGCCTGGCGTGGGGGCGATCCCAGCTTCCCAACCACTGCCCCACTCTGCATGGGGGGCTTTGTCACGACTCCCCCTGACTCTCCCTGCTGTCCCAGTCTGTGCAGTCTGGGAATTTGGGGGCTTTTTTTTCTTAAAGAGCCAGAGCTGGGGTGAGCTGGGCAGCCATGGGGAGGGGGCTAGGACAGTGGGGGGGGATCATGGGGCTCATGCAGAGCCCCCCACTCAGCGGGGGCAGTGGGGATCACCTATCTGCTGGACAGAAACTGATGAGTGGGGGCTTTTTTTTCCAAGTGCTGGGAGCTGAAGCAGGCAGGGCAGCCATTGCCAGGGCTGGGAGAGTGGGCAGGGGCCGGGCCTATGTGATTCGGAGATTTGGCAGCAGCTGAATCTCCGAATCGGATTCAGCTGAATTGATTCAGGACAGTGATTCAAATCACTGAATTCAATCGATTCCCCCGAATTGGTCAAATTCGAATCCAAAGCAAATAGTAGCTGCTTCGCACAGGCCTAATATCCAGGCACCCCAAGTCACTGATTGCCTTTCCAAATTCTGGACCAAATATTTTGCTTCTTGTGACACCCTCCAGAATTGTAACTGGTAGTAAGATCCTTCTGGCTGTCTCTTTTAACAACGCTGTCTCCAAAATGAGTTTGGGCTATGCGGGGAGCCATTTTGAGTCTCATGTCTCTAATGAATACTTTTACACTTAGTCTTTCATTTACATCAGGGCTGTCCAACTTCAAAGTGGCCAGGGACCTCCAACCCCTCAGACCACACTAGCAGGGGCCATGGACTCCAGGATCCTTATGTACCCTTGCTACACCCTATGCTCCCACACTGCACCCAATGCTTCTGCTGCACTATGTACCCTGACTCACCCTTAGTTCCCTGACTGCAAGCTACCCCACTGCACTGCACCACTCGGTCACCCCACACTGCAGGCTGCCCTCCACTGCCCTGCACCACCCACCCCCTGGGGCAGGAGGGGGAAGCCAATCAGAGAAGGAGCCTGGAGCCCTTCACTGGTACTGCAGCCAGAACAATGGTGGGAGCACAGCTGGGTGGGTGCCTGGGGCCCACAATTTAATCCCTTGTGGGCCACAGGCTGCCTGTTGGGCAGCCCTGATTTACAAGAATCCTCTGTAATATTGGGCTTATTGTGACATAGCTCTTGCCTAATTGTTCCTGAAGCGCTTGCAAGGAGGGATGCAACCTGAATGTTTGAGTAATGAGACAGATCTTTTCAGAGCACTCAGAGACTGAAGACCTCAGAGAAAGGGAGGTGACAAAAACTAAATGTATCACCATTTCATCAGAAAGAAACCAAGGAAAATAAGTTGTGCTCATTTTGAATCTGCACTGAGGTGGTTTGTATTACTTCCCTATGTGAGAAGAGTAAAAAAAACTCCAGTTCTGTATCTTGCAGCCAGTTGACTGTCCTTGGGGTTTTACAAAGTTTTACTGGTTCTAAAAGAAATCTTGTGCTTTGGTGAATGCAGAAAATAAATGTTGGTTTAAAAAATCACAGTGACCTGAATTGGTACTAGGGCTAGAGACAGACATTACACATAAACCAGTTTAAGTGATCAGAAACTGGTTTAAACCTGTAATAGAACAGATGTTCAATGCACATAACCCAGTTTGAAAATGGCTGAAACCAGTTTGAGATAAACCTGGTTAAATGTAGTATCAGACTTAACTGATTTGGCTCAAACCAGTTTATTTAGCGTCTGTCCCAGACCCCTTGCTGGTTTAAGATAAATTAGACTCCCCCAGCATCCCAGCATGCTCTCTGGGTGGGGCTCTGCTCCACTCTGGAGCTGGGCTGGCTCCGCCCCTCCAATCTCTAGCCAGAGCAGGGTCGGGACATTGCCTTAACAGGGCCATGCTGCCCAGTGTCTTGCCAAGTGGGCAGGGAGGGGATTAATTCTTCCCTCCTTCCCCTCCTCCCCTACCGCAACCGGGATCTGCCTGTCAGCCAGGGAGCAGAGGGGAGGGGGCTGCAGCAGTGGCCCCTGGGGCTGTCAGACCCCAGCTGCAGGGCAGAAGGGACAGAGGGAGGAATTAACACTTCTCCCTGCCCCCTTCACTTTAATGGCGCCATGCTGGCACAGTTGTTCTTCAGGGCAGGGGGGGCGGCTCTGTTCTGTTCGGGGGGGGGACTCTTCCCCTTCCTCCTCCTCTCCCCAGGTAGAGAAGGGGGGCTCTGTGGGGTGCTGGGCTGGGAGGGGTGCGCTATGCGAGGCTGCCTGGCCCCAGAGGGGGACTCTTCCCCTGCTCTTCACCCACTGTGGCTCTGGCTGCAGCTGTTACAGCCACTCTCCGCACCCTGCACAGAGCCCCCCCTCACCTCTTGGGAGGTGGGGAGAAGTAGGGGGAAGAGCCCCCCTCCAGGGCTGGGGCTGAGCCAGGCAGATTCGCATAGAGCTCCCCTCCCATCTTCCCCCTGCTCCTACACCACCGCCACAGGGTGGGGAGGGGGGGCGCCATGCAATGCTGCCTGGCCTCAGATGGGGACTTTTTCCCAACTCCCCCCACCATGGGGCAGGAAGGGGGGCTCTGTTCCATGCTGGGGGGTACTCTTCCCCCTCCTCTCCCTGCCCCCACTCCTGCCACTGAGGGGTGGGGAGGGGGGGCTCTGAGCAGGTTGCCCGGCCCCGCGGGCAGGGGGTCTCCATTCAGTGCTGAGGAGGACTCTCCCCCACTTCCTCCTCCACCTCCCACCATCTCAGGGTGGGGAGGGGCAGCTTTTGCAGTGCTCCCTGGCCCGGCCCTGCAGGGGCATGGGGAGAGGCTTTAACAGAGCCTAATGCCACTGAGGGGTGGGGAGGGGGGGCTCTGAGCAGGTTGCCCGGCCCCGCGGGCAGGGGGTCTCCATTCAGTGCTGAGGAGGACTCTCCCCCACTTCCTCCTCCACCTCCCACCATCTCAGGGTGGGGAGGGGCAGCTTTTGCAGTGCTCCCTGGCCCGGCCCTGCAGGGGCATGGGGAGAGGCTTTAACAGAGCCTAAACTAAAACCTGGTTGCCGGGTTAGGGAATGCTGAGGCAAGGAGACCAAGTCAGAGGGGGTATGGGCAACATTTGAACAATGGCAAAGGGTTCTGTCATGACCCAAAGGCATGATTTTGTGTGTGCTTCTGCACCAGAATTATCCCCGCCAAGTTGCAGCTTCATTGCACGGGAGAGTTTCCTGTTACAGAGGAGAACCCCGGTGCAGGGACGAGTTTCCCGCCTTTTTGCAGCTTCTTTTGCAGAGTGCATTGCTCAAGTTGCAAGAGAAATGCACGGTGCAAAACAGTTCCTGCCACCAGTATGCAAATTTGTTCCCCGCTATTGGCTAGTTCTAAATTATTCCCACGTGG